CTGCTCTCCCAGCCCTGTCTGCGTTAAGGCGATGATTTCCATTCCGGAAATTTCTCCTCCCTGGGCAGCCGAGGCTCGTTTGGAGGATTGCACAGAGGCCCAGCTTGGGGAATTTTCTGGGCACGGGACTTTTATCCACCCACAGGGTTTGATGTTCTGAGCGAGGCGACAGATGGGTCACAGCTTCTCTCCTTTCTGTCCCCGTGCCCCTTCCCCGCGCATTCTGCACACGCACACGCACACGCACACACACGCACACGCACACACACGCGGCCGGGCTGCAGGTGGCGGCTGTGCCCTCCCAGGCCAGGGGCTCCGTCTGGTGCTCCCTCCCGCAGCGGCCAGACCCTCAGCCCAGGGGCTCTCGCTGCTGGTGGCTCTTCCTAAACATGTCTGCCGTCCGCGTTCATTGCCACCAGTGGAACTGTACACTGTGTTGCTGTGAGAGGGGTAATGAGGTCAGGATTCAGAAAGCCTTGCACTTGTGCATTAAGTAAATTAAGCAGTAGATAGCTTGCCTGCTGGATCCCTTTTTGCCTCGGAGCTAACAGTGCCTGCCTGTGGGGCAGAACTTTTCAGAGAGAAATTATGATCTCACTGAGGGATTCAGTGGTGTTCTGATAAAGAGTTTGGAAGTGAACTATGCTCCTCTTAGGTCATACAGTACCTCTGATTTAAATGGAGAGAAACTGCAGGTGTATATTCGTCATACCTTTATAGTCATTTTATGATTAGGGATTTCTGACTTATGTTTCTCATCCCTTAGGAGGAGAGGCTTGTAAATAAACGCTTTATTGCTTAGTCTATGGTTTACATGATAAATGAATTATTTACAAACACCTACTGCTCTTCTGTCCTTTACTAGATGAGTACTATTTTGTAGTGCAGTCTGGGCATTTGTTTCAAAATAGAACACAACTGTTGTATTTTTCCCTTTGCATACTATTGTTTATCAGAGTGACGTGGCTTACATATAAACAGATATTTTTGAAGTCGCTGTGTAGAAATTAAATATTTCCTTCGAAATCTAAATGTATGTCTTAACTCTGTATATCCTACTAAAAGAAATAGTACTACTTAATTTGAATTGAATGTAATCAGTGCATTACACAAGGGAATTAGATTTAGACTATATAGAACTGTAAAAAAGCCCATTTTCTCAGAAAACTTCCTATCTTTTATAATGTACTGAAAATGGCTAATTTGTGTGCTTCAGAAGTAAACCACTCATCCTTCCCCACCCCCACTTTCAGCAAAAGTGTAATAAATGCAAAGTAGTGAGATGGCCAGGTACCAGTTAACATGAGATAGGTTAGTTCACTTGGTTGAGTAGGGAAAGATAATTTTCTTTAGGAGGTGAATGCTTTCATTTAAGTATTTAATGTGAGAAATATGACTAAGATGAAATGTTTTTGCTCAGGACTAAAGAGATGAAAGTAAGACTGTAGAGAAAGGAACTATTTCAACTCTAGAGATTTAAGCAGCTATGAAGAAATGAAAAAATTCCCAGCCTCATGTGATGTGTTCTAACAGAAAGTAGCTGCAGTAGGTAGTTCAGGCAAACAGGAAAGATTAAAGACATTGCTATAATAGCTTCTTTAAATATTGAATCCTTTTGGTATTAAACCAGATCATATGTAGTATGAAAATCCGCCCCCCCCCGTGTCATGCTTTCTCTCTATCTCTCTCCCCTGTCCTCCATCTGTCCCTAGCCCCCTCTCTCTCTGGGTTTTTACTTCATGCAGGAAGTTTAATAAAGTCAATTACATTTTCCTAAATCTGTTTTATTAAACACCTTAGCTCATTGTAGTGATGGTATATAATGGTGAAACTAATGAGTGAAATAAAAATGTGTTTATTCACATGTGATTACTTTGCATTTCTGTTAAATCATATGTTATAAATACTTAATATTTACACATATTTGCTCCCTACATGTGACACACATTAACACACACACACAGACACACAAGTGTTTCACAATGAACTGCCCTCCAATGTGATCTTCTTTGCCTTAAGAAAGATCTCTGAACATATAAAAACTATTCAGTTTTGAATTGTGCTTCTACTTTGAGGCTGTGCATTGATTGAGTAATTTCATCAGACCAACATTACTTGATTGCTTAGAAGTTTCCTAATGATCTGCATGCTGTAGGAAGAACCAAAAAATCGTGAGTGGAATGGCAATGATATGGTGTTTTATGAGGCTATTCAGAAGTCTCTCTGATTTATGTAGCTAGAAAGCTCCAAAGTCTTTGAGATTAGCCACGCTGACTGCTATTTTCTTTATACATCAGTCGTCCCACGCTCCATACTCCCTAAACACAACGGGAGTTTAGAGTACTGCTTTAATTAAGCAGGGATTAGGTGGCATTTCCAGTCAGCGGCGCAGTTTGTATTTTGCTTCATATCTAATATGGAGGATCTCATGTTTTAACAGTGTAATGTATGCCAGTTTCTTTATCTGGTTCCTGTGCTCACCGAGCTGGTTGTAAATGAGCTGTCTTCAGTTATATATCTCGACAAGGGAACATGCAAGTATTGTCCTCCTTCATATGTCTCACTGATCACTAGTGCACACTGCTTTTCATCAGTCATAGTAGAATCCCTTATGTCATGAGGGAGTAGGGAGAAGTGTTCATTCACGATTTTCTCATAAGCAGATATTTTATTCCCTAAGATCATAATTGTCAACTGTAGCATTATGAAAAGTTTAAAACAGTTTACAGAATATTTGAGACACTTCAGAGAATATTTTCATTGTAAGAGTGTGGAAACTAAAAAATTTGGATGAGTAACACATGTCAGAACATGAAGAAGAAATAATGCATGGTGGACGTAAAGCATCACTTTTCCCAAATTTCGAACAGAGAACTATCAGGTGAAACTCAAAAGGCAGACACTTCCCCAGAAGGTATCCTGTGTCTTCTGCCAAATATTTCCTTGTCCACTGCTGAAATGAGATGCACTGGTTAACGATAACCCCCTAGGGCTCATGGGGGACTCCATGTAACATATCTCAATGAGTTTTCATCCTAAATTTACTTCTAGTAGCTGTTTGCTTCCTAAGTTTTGGCAAAAACCATATAAACTTTTAGAATGTACTAAGATGCATATGATATTATTATCCTTTTCCACATCATCACTATAATTATATGAAGCACACAATTCAGGTGTGCATGAAGACAGACAATGCTATTAATGAGAGACATCAACAATAACATGACTAATAGCTGTTATGCTAAGGGCCTTTGCTTTCTATTCCAGGTCAAATGTACATCCATTAAATATCTCCTAGAAAATTTAAGTATGAATAAAATCATGGTGATTAATTCCAAAAAGTAGAAACCAGCTGAAGTTGTTGGGAGCCACAGGAAATACATTTCCATTCCATTCTGACTTGTAAGGGGTATGTTAGTCATATTTTTCTTAATGAGATATTATAGTTTTTAGCCCACACTTTATAATCCAGGTTTTTTTCTTCTTACACCTGTATATGACTTTATTTTTAAAAGACATTCTCATTTCTTTTGGATTATCACCATCTGTCAGGCTGAAAACAACACATCTCTGAGTAGCAACACTTAGTGTTACTACAAATATAGTGTTTATCAGGAAATACATCTAGGGCCTGTAAAGATATCTTTGCCATTAGGTGTCACTACATTCTGAGCTGTACTTTGTTGTTCTACTTGAAAACCACATGAAATGTTTTCTACATTTTCAGGAAAAAATGCCATTTAATGAGGTTTATGGTACTATAAATACAAATGTTTTTAATATTTTCAGTCTAGGAAAATAAATATTGTCCCTGGCTCTTACATTCTGTAAGAATTTTATTCTAGCACCTATGGGCAGCTGGTGTTCATTAGCTATATTAGGTTGCTAGTCTGATGCTATAACTATTCCCACAAATTTAAAGCAGAGGGCCGAGGGTTTGGCTCAGTGGTTCCACAGCCTGCCTCTTAAGTGCAAGGGCCTGAGTTCGATCCCCAGTACCCCGCAAAAAAATTTAAAGTAAAATATTAAGTAAATACTATTCTCTGAGAAAAATAAGCAAAAGCACAAACCAGAACACCAGGAAAGAGGAAAGTATGCTTAATGGTAAACAAAGTAGTTTGTCAGGCAGTTTCTAACTAGAGTAGGTCTCCTTACTTGGGGGATATCTGGGCTTCCTGACAGTCTGTGACTTGAAACATTTCACACACACACACACACACACACACACACACACACACACACGGTAGTAGAGTTGTAAAAATGATATGTTGACCAAAAATACAGCTATAACTAAATACAGTGTCAAGTCATACATGGTCATATATGTTTTCAGGTAATTGTTGCCTGGAGAGTAGTAAGTTTTAGGTTTTGTATCATTCCCCTAGACAGACATACATCCACCGCCATCACCATCACCACCAGAGAGTTTGGCCACACGAGAACAGTGTCTGTTCACACTTAGTATTTTCTCTTGTTTCTTCCATTTTTTGAAAAAAAATCACACTCTTCATTC